CCGGCGGGTGGCTGTGCCCGGGCGGCGTGCCTGCGGGGGGCGAGGAGGCGGCGGCGGAGCGGGAGAGGGAGGGGTCCGCACGACGCCGTGAAATGGCAGAGGGGGCGCCTAGGCTGCCGGCAAGCACCCTCATCGCTCAGGCATCTCGTGACGCGCCGCGGCGAATGGAGATGTGGCGATTATTTCCACCATATACTCACCCCGCCGCCCGCGCCAGCGGGGGCGGGGCCACCAGCATCTTCCCTCCTCCTCCTTTCTACTTTTATTATTCCTGGCCGTCTTCGTTCGTCGTCAAGAGTTTGCACGATGCTGTCGCTGCAGCCGGTCGGGGAGCGGCGACACACATCCTGTCCGGCCAGCCTGCGCGGGGCCGCCCCCGCCCGCCCCCGCCCCGCCCTCTCCACCCCCCGGACGGGCCGCGCGGCAGTGCGGGTTGCATATGTGCAGGCGCGTTGTTCTTAGCGAGTTAGCGGCAGCAGAGAGGGGAAAGTTTTCTGCAGACGAGCATCATTGGAGGAGCAGAGCAGCGAGAACAAAGTTTCGTTTGTCCGTCAACAGCGAGCTCGTGTGGCGCGGCGTGGCGGCCATCTCGCAAGGGCGGTGTGGTGGCGTGGGGGGTGGAAGCTGGGCGCACCAGCAGAGAATCCCTGGCTGCTTGCAAAGTTTCGGCACCATGTTCCTCGCCCCATCACACACGCTCTGCACCGCAGCGCGCGTTGCGTGAGGTCGTGCAGCACACGTGTCGCTCCGCACGCACGTAACGCACGTGCAAACGTGTAACAAGCGTGAAAACGTGTAACGCGCGCGTCACCGTAAGTGAGCAGGCGCGGCGTACGTCACAGCACGAGCAAAAATAAAAAGTGGGCACTTTACTCGTCGTGAGAGTGGTTATAACCTGCTGAGGTGGTCGTTGGCTCTGCAGTGACGCAATATCGAATGAGAGAACACGACGGCGACGACGACGTCGGTTGTAGACTGACTGGGTCATCGCGTCCACCACGTGATGGGCTGGCGGCGGTCACCACCACCGGAGAGGAGGAAGAGGAGGAGGAGGGGGGGGGGGGGCAGACCGGCCGGGAAGGGAAAGGGTAGTTGTGACCTCGTCGTAAAGTATACCGCAATTTTATCTCCCCGGAACTGCATCGTAATAATTCGGCGCGGTGGCGGGGCTGGGCGTGGCGGGGCGTGGCGGGGCGTGGCCTAGCGGATGGAGCGCTGCTCGACGGCGGCGGTGGTGGTCCGCTTCTTCGCCTCCCACGACACGCATGCTCTCCGGGCTGCGGCAGGGCAGTACAGGCCGCGCAGGCTGGGCGGGCACCCAGGATGCTGTGGTTGTAGTGGCGGGGCG